ATGCGACCGGGGCGTACCAGTGCCGCACGGGCACGCGGCCGCCGTCGGTCGGCGCGGCCGCGTTGACGGGAAGCTCCCAGCCACCCTCGCCCAGAATCGCGTCGAGCGCCGCAACGAGCCGCGGCGAGGCGACGAGCTCGGCCCAGTGTGCTGCGTCGCCCGGCGGCGTCACCTCCAGCACGCGGCGAGACCCGCCCGAAGGCCACGTGTCTGGCCGATCGAGGCTGGCCGACGCCTCACCAGACTCAGCGGCGATGGACGGCGCCTCGAGCTCCCTCGCGATCTGCGCCATCAGCGACTCCATCGTCGCCGGCTCCACAGCCCGTCGGATCGTCACCCAGCCGTCGCGGGCAAAGGCCGCGCGGAGGCGGTCGGCGTAGATCGTGGACATATATTTATCAGAAAGCGATTGCGACAAGAATTTTAGTGCGCGCAGCACACTGCGCACGGGACTGGTGCCGAAGCGCATTTCTTCTCTGCACTATAGCCCTTGAGAAAGAGCTCGCATTATGCAAACCTGTACCTGTGTCCTAGGAAGTAGACTGAGAGGGGTACTCCCATAGGCAAGAGGAGGTCTGGAGAGGCCCACAGCGGTCAGGAGAGGCCCCAAGAGGGTGCTAGATGAGAGTCAGCAGAGCGCGCCGTCTCGGCGGCTATGGCATAGTGGGCTGAGAGGCAAGAAGGATTTTTCTCTCGGGCGGAAGATGAAGCACCGACTTCTAATAAATTGTGCCAGGCGTAGCCGGGGGCGGACAGCACCTATCCTTCCTGAGTCACCAGAAAATCCCAACGATCCTTGAGCGGAGGCCGCCTTGGCCACTTTTCCGGCCTCTCCGGAGAATCTGGGAGAATGGCTACCATAGCCTAGCATGGCACCCGCGGGCAAAGCTGCCCCCAGGTTCCTAGAGTCCATGGGCATTCCCAAAGGATATGTCAGCGTGAGGTGAGGGCGCAACGGTGGGGGCTCTCACCAGCCCCTCAAAGTCGGGCCTCTCGGGCGGCGGTCAGAGGGGCGGGCAAGGGCACGTGGGAGAAGGGTCAGTGCGGCCCACAAGGTGTGAGCTACCCCCTCTCCTAGGTGTGACTCTACAGCCCCTGAGGCCCTCTGGGCTGGGCACCATCAGCTTGTGGGCAGAGGTCCTCGGGGTGGGGAGAGAGGGAGCTCCCCTTTTCAGGCTCCCCCAACCGCGCATTAACTCGCACCCCAGTGTAGCCTCTGTCGTGCGCAAAAGAATTGGATGTCCCTCATTACAAGAAACAGGCTCATAAATAGGAGAGCGCAACCAGTAGGAGGCCCGCGCCTGCCCCCGTGCCGCCGGGTGCAACCTGTCCTGGAGGACACGCGTGAGACTTGACACACACACACACACACACTTGACTGCTAAAGAAAGAAAGAAAGAAAACAGACAGACCAAACGAGGGATAGGGGAGGAGGACAGGGTTCCCACCTGCACGAGCAGGATTTTGACTCGCTAAAAAGAAAGAAATAACAACCCAAGGGCTGATGGGACTGTGAATTTGAGAGAGATTTTTAGAAGCCAACAAGAAATGTGTCACACAGAGTGATTTGCGCTCGGCAGCTTGTCGACTACGTCTCTTCTTCTTGAATTTGCGCCCCGGATGTGTTTCTTCCCCCCCCCCATGTTCGCCGGCTCAGGCCGGCGCCAACCCAGGATTCGACACTTCAGCTTGGTATATAGTATCATCGTATGCCAGATCATACCCCAGGGCTATACCCTGATACCCTCTTGAGAGGACCCGCATTGGGCCCCTAGAGGATAGGCTGATACCCTGGTGGGTTACCCTTCACACCGGACACGACCCCCCTCTTCACACCTCTTCGCGCGCGCTGCGCGCGCGCCAAGACAGACAACGCGCTCGAATGAGCGTCGCGCAGGAGGGAGGCGAGCGCACCACTAAGCAATGCGCTGGGCGAGGAGGGCGCTAATGGCGGCCGTCGTCGCATTTGACGGGCCCGCGGCCGCAGCCGGTGCGGCTGCAGCCGTGGGAGGGGCCGCGGCCTGCACGGCTGCGGCCGGGGCCGGCGCCGCGGGGGGCGCGGGGTTAGGCGCCGTGGCGGGCTCCGCTGCGGACTCGGTGTCCCCCGCCGCCGCCCCCATCGCCTGCGCCGATGCGAGCTGCTGGCGCGCAAACTCCTCGCTCGCGGCCGTCTTCGCCGCCTTGCGCTGCTGCCCGACTTCCACAGCCGCTTGCGCCTTCGCCCTTGCCGCCGCAACCTTGGCGTCGAAGGCCGTGCGCTTCTCGACAAGCCCGTCCCAGCGGCGTGACGCGGCCGCCAGCTCCTCGGCCTTGTCTGAGAGCATGGTGGCCAGCGTCGCCTCTGCCGCGCCTCCGCCGTCTTGGTGGGCGTGGCGCGCGGGTACGGCGGAAGCGCAAAGAGTTTGAATGATACCGGGGCGGACCATGCGGGAGGGCTCGGTCCTCGGTGAGAAGTGTGAATTGTCGCTTCGCTGCGCGGCCGCCGATGATACCTTGATACCCAGCCGAGATGGGTCCCCACAGAGGCCTAGAGCATACCCTGATACCCCCTCGAGAAGCATACGATGATACTATCTCTCTCTCTCTCTCTCTCTCTCTCTCTCTCTCTCTCTCTCTCTCTCTCTCTCTCTCTCTCTCTCTCTCTCTCTCTCTTGCAGATACGACTGTAATGTCACTGTTAGACGTCTTTCTATAGACTACTCGCCTTGCTCAACACACATATCTTCACACGCACACTCACGCACACACACGCACACCCACCCACACACACACACATACATAAGAACGCACGCGCGCACACACGCACCCGAGGCACCATAAATTCGCAGGGAAAGAACGTAAAGTAAACATGGGTCTCCGATTGGCCGCAAAAATTCTTTTCTCGCAGCACGCTGGTAGGTTACGCTGATGAACTCCGGCGGCGATCGAGGTTGTGCTGCTCGGCTGCCCTGCACAGCACTCGGATCCTTCTCTTTCACGGCTCGCTCGCACGTCCGCACACGCGCCGCCCGCACGCGCCTTCACGCTGCCCGCTTCACTCACATGAACACACACGCCACTGCCTCGAGAGTCTGCGCGGCTCCGCGCGGCGGCAGCATCACCACTCTCGCACTCGCGTATGCGCTGTGACGTGGCCCACTGCCGTCCAGCCTCCCGCCCGTCTCCCGCCTCATCTCGCCGCCCCCGCGCTGTCTCGCCTTCTCTTCTCTGCGGCGGACTGCGCCAGCGGCCAGCGCCGCTCCATAGCCGACGCCGCCGTGCTGTTTTCTTTCCTAGCCCTAGCACATGGCCTCACCGATTACATGACTCGCGATCGCGATCACCTCCACCGTGTGGCCACGCTACCGGCGGCCCCAACCAGTCGCCCGCGCCGTCGCTGCCACGGCTTCCGTCGGGCGGTGTCTGTGCCGCCGCCGTTGCCGCCACCGGCCCGCCCCACAACGCGCCATCTTTCACACCGCCGCCGCCGCCATACCCGCGGGGCAACGCGCCCGTGCCGCCGCGCTTTCTGCGTCCACACCTGCCCGATGAGCTTCCCTCCCCACCGCCATCACCACCGCCCTCCCTGCCACCGCAATACTCGCCTCCTCCGTCACGTCTAACTGGCTCCCTCGCTCAGTACGTCTTCGGTGCCGCCGCCGGTGCCGTGACCCCAAGCGCCCGCGCCGCCGCCCATCCCACACGACCACCGCTGTCTCTGCCCTCGCCACCGCCGTATTCCGCCGCGCGTGTCACCCCAGCGCCATCAGCCCGCCGGCAAGCGACACTCCTCGCGCCAGCGCCCCATTCGCCCTGCCCGCCGCCCCCGCCGCCGCCCCGCCCGTCAAGCACGCCCTCACCGCCACGCCCGCTCCTCCGGCCATCACTCTCCGCGAGACCTCGGCACGGTGTGCATGTTGGCGGGAGCATCTCCTCTGTTTTCGACCTAATGCATTCCGCAGTCAACTGCCTGCTTTGGAGACGTAGCTTCCTCGACTCACTCCCTTGCGTGATGTGGAGCACGCGAGCGGACAGCGCTGAGGTTCAAGATTTACGTACGTACGTACCCACTCCCACTCACTTTCAAGATTTAACACGACTTGTCAAAGCAGCGAATCACCCCTCGGCATGTTGAATCAATGTTGTCCGCGTAGCAACTTAATCTTCACCCGAACACTACGACTCATCCGGAGCGCAAGGCGTGCTTCTCCCATCCACCCGATCCCCCTAAGCACCGTCACTAGGACACCTGGTGTCTGTGCCGCCGCCCTTGCCACCGCCCCGGCCCTGCCCCGCAAGGCGGCGCCCGTCCTCCACCGTCGCCGCCACCGAAGCCGCCTCGATCGGCGCCCGTGTCGTCCCCTCGCCACTTTATGGAATGTGAAGCGCTTGGACACTGTCGGCCGTGTACGGTTCCAGTCACGTCTCATGTCTCGCGTGGGGTGTTACGTCACGAGCGACGGATCCTGCCGTCTAACTCCAGGCTGTATCCTGTAAGGTGTAAGAAAACATTGCACACACCCACCTCAACACGTATGTCAGTGCGCGCTCATACGATCAACACACATCCGCTCCGAAACCCGTAACACACGCGCACAATATGTGTTGGACTCATCCCGATCCACATTAGAACGCTTTGTCCCCCTTTCTCCCTCGACGTCTCGCAACGGGATTCCAATCCTACTCGGCTCGCACTTTCCGACGCACCGCTCCAACCGTGTTCGAGCGGATGCACGAGCGAAACATCAAATGACAAACACGCGCACTGTGAAGCGTGATCCGCGGTGATCGTTCGTGCATGCACACAGAACGGACCCGCACCGCCGCCGGTACCCCGGTGCCAATGCTGGTGTGCGCAGTCCATCTCCTTTTTTCCCCGTCGACATGCCTGTGCCTCTCCTTCCAGCAGTCGCCGAACACGCCGTCAACCACGAGAACGCCCACAGACACGTGCGCTTGCGCGGGGTTCGTGTTTAGGTCATGGCCTCGGCTGCCACGCGCGCGGCAGCCTTGATCGCGTGTCACCCCAGCGCCATCAGCCCGCCGGCAAGCGACACTCCTCGCGCCAGCGCCCCATTCGCCCTGCCCGCCGCCCCCGCCGCCGCCCCGCCCGTCAAGCACGCCCTCACCGCCACGCCCGCTCCTCCGGCCATCACTCTCCGCGAGACCTCGGCACGGTGTGCATGTTGGCGGGAGCATCTCCTCTGTTTTCGACCTAATGCATTCCGCAGTCAACTGCCTGCTTTGGAGACGTAGCTTCCTCGTGTCGACTCACTCCCTTGCGTGATGTGGAGCACGCGAGCGGACAGCGCTGAGGTTCAAGATTTACGTACGTACGTACCCACTCCCACTCACTTTCAAGATTTAACACGACTTGTCAAAGCAGCGAAACCCCTCGGCATGTTGAATCAATGTTGTCCGCGTAGCAACTTAATCTTCACCCGAACACTACGACTCATCCGGAGCGCAAGGCGTGCTTCTCCCATCCACCCGATCCCCCTAAGCACCGTCACTAGGACACCTGGTGTCTGTGCCGCCGCCCTTGCCACCGCCCCGGCCCTGCCCCGCAAGGCGGCGCCCGTCCTCCACCGTCGCCGCCACCGAAGCCGCCTCGATCGGCGCCCGTGTCGTCCCCTCGCCACTTTATGGAATGTGAAGCGCTTGGACACTGTCGGCCGTGTACGGTTCCAGTCACGTCTCACGATGCGCATCATCTGGTCCGAGTCGGGCGTGATCGCCGTCCCGAACTCGTAGCACGCGTAGTACTCGCCCTTCTTGCGCGCGAAGGTCACCTCCATTCGGAGGAGGGCCTCGAAGTCGCCCTCGGTCATCACGCCCGCCCCGTCTAGTCCCCGCAGCAGCACATCCGCGGCGATGGACAGGTCGCCCATCGTCAGCGGCGGCAGCTCGTGCCTGCCGGCGAGCGGCACGGCTCAGTGGCATCTCGCCCCATCACGCGCCAACGCCGCGCCGTCCTACTCGCCTCTCCCTCTCTCTCTCAGCGGGAGACGCGCGCCAGTGGCTGTCCGAATCGGCCGCGTCCGCCGCATCGTTCACCGCCATCCCCGGCCGGCACCCGGTCTGCCGCGCGAAGCACAAGTAGGCGTTCATGATGAAGGCCACGTTCACCTCGAACGGCTCTAGCAGCTGCGTGTCTTGCATCTGGTACTCTCCCACCTGGAAGAGGTGCTGCCTCGTGCACGGCTTCGTCGTCGCCTCGCGCAGCTCGGCCATCGTCCGCCGGCTCGCCTCGGCGCTCGCCCTCTCGCTCGCCGCCCGCTGCGCCGCCTCGCTCTGCCCGTGCGACGCGCTCTCCCGCGCCGCCTCGCGGCCCGCCGCCCGGCCGGCGGCTCCTGCCGCGTCCTTCATCCCGCCGCCGCCGCCGTCGAACAGCGACATCACCTGGTTGGTCACCAGCCGCCAGTACTGCCTCGCGTCGCTCGGCATCGCCGGCCAGATCTCGCGCCACACGTGGTTCTTCATGTGCTGCAGCGCGACGTAGACCGTGCTCTCGCCGCGACCCGTGCGCACCGTCGGCTCCTCCTCCCGCGCGTCGCCCCGCTCGGTCGCGTGCCACCGGCTCGCCCTCAATGCTCTGACTCGCGTCGTCGCCAGCCACTTGCCGAAGCGGATCGTCCACCGCATCGTCGGGTGCAGACCGAGGGCCGTCCGCTGCATCGGCACGCTCTTCCCTGCCGCGGCCTGCGTTGCAAGGAACTCGCGCAGCTGCAGGCGCACGCGCCGAAGCTGCACCGACAGCGCCGGCCCGTGGGGCGCTAGCATCGGCTGCTCGTCGCCACGCGCAGCCTCGTCCTGCCGCTCGTCGTCCTCCGCCTCGAGGACGTCCGCCAGCGCGCTGCGCCGCACACCCCGGCACGCGGGAGGCGGCGCCGGCCGCACCTCGGCCGCCTCGGCGGCACCCGCGGCACGGGCGCCCTCGCCGTCCGCGCGGTCCATCGCCGCATCCCCGTCCACGTCTGCGGCGGCGCCTCCTGCGCCCGTGCCGGCCTGCTCTGGGACGGCTCGCCACCGCTCGTCGTCCAGCATGTGCCACCACCGCCGATCCGGGTAGCCGTCGTACTCGACCTGGTGCGCGATCCGTCCGTCCCCGTCCTCCTCCCGGCCCATGACGGTCGCGGGGTACCACCGCTCGGTGTCGCAGAAGATCTCGAGGCGCGATCCGGTGGGCAGGACAGTGTGGCCGTTGAGCGCCGCCCTGCCATCCTCGCGCTGTCGCTTCCGCCGCTTCGCCTTCGTCTCCTTGCTGCGCAGCAGGGTGTAGTTCGGGCCCGCCTCCGCCACGCTGTCCAGCAGCTGGACGGCGCTCACCATCTCGACCGCGTCGTCCTCCGGCGGAAGCTCCGCGTTGCCCGCGGCCGCCTCCCGAGCGCGCTCGTCGCGCATCCGCTCGTGGTGGGCCTGCCGACGCGCCACGCCGGCGCCCGTGTGCCTCGCCGCCGCGTCCGGCGACGGCATCGACGCTGTCTGCCCGAGCGTGACTCCCAGCTCCACGATTTGCGGTCGACCAAATTTGGCTGCCCCCATCAAAGTTGACTCCCTTCCTTAGATACATACATACCAAGCTGAAGTGTCGAATCCAGGGTGATGGTCGACCACAGGGCCGAGCCGCTCCTCCCGGCCGAAGAAGCGGGCAAGCTCCGTTCCGCGCTACGCATCGACCTCTCCGTGGGATGCTCCCGCGGCGGAGTGCTCCAGCCGTGCCGCCGCAAGCACGAGCCGCCCAGTCGTGAGGCGCGAGCGCAGCTGCCGCTCGGGCCGAACGAGCACGCGACCGAGGGCGATATCTGCGACATGTACGCGCGGTTGGGCTGGGACGAGCGAGACCAGCTCGGCGCCGTCCTCGTGCTCAAGCTTGCGCTCTCGCTGACCGCCTCGGGCATGCCAACCTACACCGCCGAGCCGCTCCTCCGCACCGTCGCTGCCGCCGCGAACCTCCCTCACTGCCACCTGCTGCTCGGGATGCGCTCGCTGCAAATCTCGTTCGGCGGCGGGCCGGTGCACGTCCTCTCCTCGCGTCAGGGAAAGGTGCTGCACCGTCTCTCCGACCTCCACTGCCTCACCCTCGCCGTCGCCGTCGCCGTCGAGCCCGCCACTCTGATGGCCCTCCAAGCTGTGGACGCGATCAACCGCCGCCGCTCGCCCTTTGGCTGGGCGATCGAGGCCCTCGCTTACCACGGCTTTGCGTGCGCCGCCGCGCCCGCCATCTTTGGAGGCGGCCTCGGCGATTTTGCCGTCGTCGCGCTCGCCTCTGTCCCTGTGCGGCTGACCCTCGCGGCGTGCGGAGCGCTGCCGCAGCTCTCCGCGCTCAGCGACCTGCTCCTCCCCATCGTCGCCGGCGTCGCCGCGCCTTCGCTCTGCGCGCTCTTCGAGCTCGACGCGTGCCACGCGGCGACGGCGACGCTCTCGCTGCTCCTCTTCGAGCTGCCCGGCTCGGAGCTGCTCTTCGGCGCGACCGAGCTCAAGCGCGGCAACCTCGTGGGGGCGACGCGGCTCGTCCACGCCGTGGTGCTCACCATGTTCATGGCCGTCGCCCTCGCCCTCGGCTGGTGCCTCGCCGCCCTGCCGATCTCGCGGCTCGCGCCGAGCCCGCCACCCAACCCGTGGCTGCCGGCGGCGGCGCCGTGCAGCGGCGGCGCCACCGCCGAGCTGTGGCCCGCCCTCCTCCAGAACGGGCTGCAGCTTCTGCCGCTGGAGGTGGCCCAGTTAATAGCGAAGTGCCAGTAATTAGCTATGAATTAAGGAATGCAGCTCGTGCCTCTGGAGGTGAGCTTCTTCGTGCTGCTCGGCGTCAGCGTGCGGGAGATGCCCTCCGCCGCCGGCTTGCTGCTGCTCACGATGCTGCTCCAGTTCTTCCTCTCCCACTCGGCGCTGCCTCTTCCGGGGCCGGTGTCCAACGCGGCAACGCTCTTTGTCGGCACCGCGCTGGGCTGCGCCCACGAGTACGTCCACGGCACGTCGCACCTGATCGTGCTGCTGCCCACCATTGTGCTCCTCGCCCCGGGCGCCACCGTCCTGAAGGCCGTCCTCGCCTCCATCGACGCTTCCGCGCCCGGCACTGCGCCTGGCGGGGACGGCGACGGCGCGCACCGAGCGTGCACCGACGGCGCAGCACTTGCGTGTAGGCGCGGCAGAGCCGCCCCCGACCGACGCGTGGTTCGAGCTGCTCATGCTCGCGGTCTCGTTCGCCGTCGGCGAGGCGATCGCGCACCACCTCTGGGCGCCGGCCCTCTCGCGCCGCGCCGCCGCGCGAGCCGAGGCGACGGCAGTCGCTCTCTCAGACAGCAAGGCCGTATGCCCGGTTCGGCTCGCGCGGATTGTGGCTGTTGGCGTGCCGGTGGCGGAAACGCTGGAGTGACACGCACCATCCCATCCAGATCCGCACCGATCAGCCATCAGTCCAGTTCTCGAGTCGAGAGAGCAGACTCTCTCTTCATGTTAAGCGCAAAAGTGGACGTGCAACCCACTGGTGTAACCACACCCGCTCATGGTGTCGCAGTGCTCCGAGGGTCTGCACGACACTAGCCCTTGCTTCGTGAAGCTGCTATTCCAACGTCCGGCTTACAGGCGCCCGCCACCCGTCTGCCGCCCCCTCGCTCTCGTCCTCGCTCTCGTCCTCGCCCTCCTCGCTCTCCTCCTCACTCGCCTCCCCCCTGCTCGCGACGGCGCGCCTCGGGTCGAGAGCGGAAGGCGAAGAGGCGAGGCGCACACCGAGGCTGGCCAGCGCCTCTAGGGCCTCGGCGGCGGAGGCTCCGACATTGAGCTCCGACTCAAGGTACTCGCCGCCGCGGTAGGCGGCGAGGGCGGGAAGCACGTCGGTCGAAAGCCTCGCCTGCGCTTCCGAGGCGCGGATGGAGACGAACTTGACGAGGTCGTACCTCGCCGCGAGGCGCTGCATGCACAGGCCGAGGGCGGCGCACGCCGGCAGGTGAGGCTCATGGATGTGGACCACCACAAAGGTCTCTGGCGGCTCCTCCTCGACCGCGGCGACAAAGTCGTCCTGAGAGAGCTCCGTGACGCAACCGTATGTGCGCCGCGCCGCTGCGGCAGCGCGGAGCTCTCCGAGTCGCGCCTGCCGAATCCGGCGGAGCGTATCGCCGTCGTCTGAGTCGCTGCCGTCCGAGTGGGTGTGCCCTGACGCCAGCTGAGACCGGCGCAGCTGGGCGAGGCGGGCTTGCCGGGCAGCTTCGCGCGCGTCCTCCAGCACCGCCTTGGGCCCAGAGGCGTGCGATTCGCCACCAAAAGTGACGGATGTCGGGCTGCCCGGGCGGAAAAGGGCGGCACCGACGACCCTGCCATCCTCGCCCTCGATGCCCTCCGAGGCGTTGAGAATCGTCCGCTCTATGGGGTCCGACGGAAGGTGGCCGGACCAGCTCGTCATCGCGCAAGTCGAGGTGCCTCTCTTGCCTTGCCCACAGCGGCGGCTCGACCAACCACAACCCAAAGTTCTTTTTTCGGACTCTACTTTAGGGGGCAGATGACCAGGCAAGGGGAGGACGTCTGGCGCCGAGTGCGTCTGGCACCGGGCACGGAAGCTCGCACACTCATCAGCCGCACGCGATAGCAATAGTGCTGCCGCCGCGAGAACGCCAGAGAGAGAGAGAGAGAGAGGAGAGAGAGAACGCCAGCTGCCATGTGTGTGTACGTTAGAGAGAGAGATGTTTGTTACGTTAGTACGTACGATGTGCATGGACGATATATATTACGTGGGGAGGAGACGGACTGGGTTTGCCGCATTCAAATCGCTCCACAAATCGCTCCACATTTAACTATTTCCCTCATTGTCAGCTCTCAAGGTCAAGCTGTGCAGTCTACGATGACCTCGTGAGCTCACGACTCCCCTAGCGACTCCCTTGGAGCTTGGTCATACATACGCCGAAAGAAAGGTGAGAGAAGCCGCGAGAGCAAGGCCTCGGCAGGCGCCGGTGCCATCGCAGAACGAGGCAGAGGAGAGCGATGAGGCAGAGGACGACGGGGCAGGAGAGAGAACGACGAGAGTGGGACGACCGCGAGGTGGCATGAAGATTGCTAGTCTCCCCCCGCGCACTGCCTCACCCCGGGGGAAGTCCCTTTGCCAATTTTACATCTGCTCCCTGTCGTGGGCCTTATCCAAAGCAGCCTGATGCTCCTTTGCAGATTGCAGCCCGTTCGCGCCCGCTCAGACCTCGTGCACACGCTCCGCAGGGTACATCTGCTGGCCGAGAAATGTCCATGGGGTCCGCTGGTTTGCTGCCGGCGCAGCCCATATGGAGATGAGAACACTCTCAGCCTGAGTGCGCACAGCACACAGCAAATGGTCGGAACAGGCACGCGCGAGCAGAGGTTTCTGGGAGGGCAACGGGCCGATACGAGCTTGCGCGAAGCGGGCTGGTGGGTGCGGAAGGGGTACACCCAGCTAACCCTCGGAGACCCGTGTTATGGCCCTGCGACCGCGCACCCCCGTAGGGCTTAATAAATTGCTCCCTGGGTAGCCCGATCCAATCGTCCGGCCCGCTGGGCCTGCGCTTCTTAGCTCCCCGGCCCTGAGCGTGCGGCTGCCGACTGGGTGCAACCAACGTCCAAGACTTGCGCAGAAGAAACCGCCGGATGAAAAATAAAAAAACGAACCGCGTAACGTGCCAAAATTCCCAAAAAGTACGATCTACTAAGTACGGCTTTACGACGGCTTTAAACCCCCGTAGGCCTGCCGCCGGCCTCCCGGCCTGACAGAGTGCTCACGGCCGCCCCTAGCGAGCAGCGACTTTTGGACTCGACCACCCGGCTGCCGGCTCCCGCGTCCCGGGTCCGGGCGGTTTGACAAGTCACAAGAATAAATAGTGGGCCGCACCGCGCGAACCAAGTGATCCTGAGTAGTTAGCGCAACCCAGTACTGCGCGCAAACCAAACGCGACGACGAGAGGGATCACGCACCGCGTGCGAGCGCCCTCTCGGTCTGCGCCTGCAGCCTCCGCTCCCGCCTCCACGCGCGCAGCCGTGCGCCGCCACCCTGCACGCCCGCACGCGCCGGTCCGCTGCCGGTCGGGGCGACCTCCCGAAGAGCTCTCAGCAGGTCCTCGAGGCTCACCTCGAGCAGCCCGGAGCTCGCTGCTCGGCCTCCCTTTCGCACCTCCGCGCCTGGCGCCAGCCCGCTCAGCAGCCGCTCGTCTGCGTAGCGCTCCAGCGCGAACGACGTCGCGCTCCGCAGCAGGCCCGCGAGGTCGGCGCCGGAGAAGCCGCAGGTCGCATCCGCAAAGGCGCCCGAGGCCAGCGCAGCGGCGGCGGGCGGCGCGAGGCAGCCGCGCTCGCGCAGCCGCTCGGAGTGGATGGCGGCGATGCGCTGTCTCCCCGCCGCGTCGGGCTGTGGCACCAGCACGTGCACCTCGAGCCGGCCGGGCCGGAGCAGCGCTGGGTCCATCAGCTCCGGCCGGTTGGTCAGGCCGATGACTGCAGCGGGGAGAGGTGGGAGCAGAGGCACGGAGTGGCAACGAGGGGAGGGAGGGGAGGGAGGGGAGGCGGAGCACCCAGAATGTTGTCGAGCTGCTCGACGCCGTCCATCTTGGCGAGCAGCTGGTTGACGACCGAGTCGCGGATGCCTGAATTAAATACCAATAACCAATCAACTAATCCATTAAGGCAGCTGGTTGACGACCGAGTCGCGGATGCCTGAATTAAATACCAATAACCAATCAACTAATCCATTAAGGCAGCTGGTTGACGACCGAGTCGCGGATGCCCGACGTGTCGCCCGAGAGGGAGCCGCGCTCCCTCGTGAAGGCGTCGATCTCGTCGAACACGATCACGTGCAGCGCCGAGTCGTCGCCCGCCTCGGCCTGCTCCACCTCCGCCTGCGGGGCGTGTCCAGGACACGTCATCGGCGTGCCGAAAGGGCGTCCTCGGCCTGCCCCGCCTCCGCCTCGGCAAAGAGCGAGCGGATGAACTGCTCCGAGTCGCCGACGTACTTGGACATCATCTCGGGGCCGTTGACGATCTTGGGCTCGCGCGCGCCCATCGCGCCAGCTATCTCGCGCGCGAGCAGCGTCTTGCCGCAGCCGGGCGGCCCGTAGAGCAGCATGCCGCGCACCGGCGAGACGCCCAGAGGCCGCATCAAGGCCGGCGGGTACAGGCGGGAGGCGAGCGCCCGCCGCACAATCTCGTCCACAGCCGCGTCCAGCCCGCCGACGCGCCGCCCAATGCGCGCGGTGAGCCCCGGCGCGGAGCCAGGCTGGCCGCTGGTGCGGTCCATCTCCCGCTCTCGCGCCAGCGCCTCCTCGCTCGGCTGGTCCAGCAGCAGCAAGTCGGCCACTCAAGGGCGGGGGCGGGGCAGCGGCGCAGGTGAGAGAGGGCAAGCGCTGAACGCAGCTGTGAGAGTGCAAGCTGCCGCACACCCTTCTCGACTCCGATGCAGACGCCGGAGACGACGTCGGTGTTCTCTTCGCACGACTCCCCAGGCGGCCGTCGCCAGCCGATGCTGCCCTCGCCGCCGCAGTGCCCCGGCGGGAAGCTCGAGGTCGGGGGCATCATCGCGAGCTGGAGGAAGGCGGACGCGACGCCGGGCACGCCCTCGAAGGAGTGGCAGCAGCCTCCCGCGAGGAAGCACGGCTTGGCGCCCGACTTGAGCACGCGCTTCATCAGCTCGATCGGGGTAGACGTCTTCCCCGTGATGTCGAAGCGCAGCCGGCGCACGGTAAACTGGCCGAGGAGGGGGACGCAGAAGAGGACAGACCCTCGCGGGAAGGCGGCAGGCGGCAGCGTGCAGCCGCCCGGCAAGGCAACCACCGACACCTCGTACTTGGCGCCGCGCGCCGCCACTGCGCGCAGCGGGCGCGGCGCGTC